CTCACAGAGATCCTCCTGCCTCTGCCTCCCAAGTGCTGGGATTAAAAGGCATATGCCGGGCGTTGGTGGCGCACGCCTTTAATTCCAGCACTTGGGAGGCAGAGGCAGGAGGATCTCTGAGTTCGAGGACAGTGTAGTGTGTTCTACAGAGCAAGTTCCAGGACAGGTTCTAAAGCTACAGAGAAACCCTGTCTTGAAACACCCCTCAAAATAGGGAAATAAATGAAACATATGAAAAATTAATAAAAATCCATATAAACAAACCTACAGGAAACATATTAAATGCAAACTAAGAGCATGTATTCTTACATCCGAAATGAGACAAGGATGCCCACTATGTAATGCTCAAAATCTTAACTACATCAATTAAACAAGTGGAAAACATAAAAGGGATAAAAATGGAAAATCAAATTATCCCTATTTGTAGGTGACATAATCCTTTACTTAAGACTGAGACAATTAGGAAACACTTGGATCTAATAAATACAATAAAGTACCAGGATACAAAATCAATATTTAAAAAAAGCAGTAGCCTTCATTTATACCAACAGGCTATTCTCAAGAAAAGAAATTAAACAGTGAAAGAGATGGCTCAGTGGTTTAGAGCTGTTGTTGCACTTCCAGAGGACTGGATATCCTCTTCTACCTTCCTCGGTCACCAGGTGTGCATATATGCAACCAAAATATTCATACACACAAAATAAATATTCCATACAAAATAATTCCCCCACAAGAGTATATAGCAATATATCTAACCAAAGAAATGAAAGACTTTTAAAATAAAAAACGTTAAGATACTGAGAAAGGAAAACACAGAAGATACTAGATAATGGAGATATCCCATGTTTCTAGACTGGTAGAATTAATATTGTGAAATGGTTATATTACCTACATTAATTTACAGGTTTGATGAAATACCTAGCTAAATCCCAATGTCACACTTACAGGTTTAGAAAAAAAAAAATACAAGAAGGTAGGGAACCACAAAAATCAAATAGTCAAAGCAATCTTAAGGAATAAGAATACCACTGGTGGTATTTTAATACCTGACCTCAAATTATACTATAAAGCTATAGTGATAAACAGCCTGATAAACAGGCATAAAAGTAAACTGGTAGACCAATGAAATACAATAAAGGACCCATATGTAAAACAACAAGGCTGCCAGGCATTAGTCCCTGGTGGGTCACACCTTTAGGAGGCAGAGGTAGGCAGACCTGAGTTCAAAGCCAACCTGGTCTATAAAAAAGTTCCAGTATAGTCAGGGCTACACAGAAAAGCCCTGTCTTAAAACAAACAAACAAACAAACAAACAAACAAATAAATACAAAATAAAACACACAAACACACATGTGTGCATACAAAAGGCCAATAAACATTTTTAAAAACTGTTCATTATCAAGGAAATGGAAATTAAAACAACTTGGGGGGGGTGGATATGGACACAGGAGTGGGAGGAGAAGAAGGAGGGGAAACTATGGTTGGGATGTA